AAGATTTAGTAAATATTTGGATCAAACAGCAAATCAGACTAAATAAATAATAACAAGTACTACTATACTATGATAACTAGTACACATTTTTCTACTATGGTATGATATTTACCAACTGTTGAAAATATGAAATATGTTAGGGTTAGGAGTTAGGGTTAGGGTTAGAGTTAAAGGCAGTAAACAAGTGAACTGGTTATGTATTAAAATTCATTAACAATTTTTTATACAAATTAAAAAAAATTATCAAATTGTGATTTTAATGTTTGTAAACTGATTTGATGTCACTTAAAAAAAATCAGTAAACAGGTCATCGTATTTTTTAAGCATTTTAAAGCAATAAGTGCACCGTCATTTACGGTAAGTCGCAAATGCCTCGGTAGATATCATATTATAGTAGCACTTAATAATGTATCATTGAAGACTTAAAAAAAATATAGGAAAATACAAGGCTCTTGAAGAAAAAATCTCGAAAATTTGGCGTATGAAGACACCAATAATACCAGTTATGCTTGAAATCCTGTGATGATTGAAAAATAGGTTCTGATAGATTCGTTGAAGGGATACCTGGTAGTCCATTCCTTGAAAGAAATACAAAAAAATGTTCGTTCAAATACGGCTCACAGCTTATGAAGGGCTTTATCTATGTGAAATGTGTGTGAGCTTAGGGTTTAAAAAATACTCAGTGGAAAATGCCATGATGCCATTGTTGGTTGTACCCGGAAAGAAATGCGTACACACCAGAAATCAAATAATAATAACAAATCCATGCCTCAAGGAAATACAAAAAATTGTTCTGACAAGTACAGCCCACACCCTACGAAGGGCTTTATCTATGTAATTTAACTTTTTTTCTTTTTTTTTTTTTTTTTTTTTTTTGAGGTGGAAAGTGTCATGATGCCATTTCTAACCTTAGGTCCCTGGGCGGGACCCGGAAAGAAAGAAAATAAAAATAATAATAAATTCCTTGATGCTATGCCAAACTATTGAAATTTCTCCCCCTTCACTAATTTGAATGTGATCATTGCTTAACTTTGTTGGTAACTGGAATACTAGCTTCGAATAACCATAATCAAATTTTAGATAAAAAAAAAGCAGCTTACTCAATAAAAAAAAAAAAAGGTTTGTCATGATCTTATTGAAAGCAGAATTTTTCTTTCAATTCATAACGTGCTTCACTAGCCCTACACTAAAGATAAAATCGCAACTGTAAAAAGATTTCTTCATAGCAGTAGTAGTTGGGAATATTGCTATTTGCTTATTTCTTTTTTCTTTTTTTTAGGTACTGATTCTAAAACAGGGAATTTGGAAATAAATGGGTCAGCGTCTTAATTGCTGAGCAGATATACTCACCCCTAAATTTTAAATCTTATAGTAGTGAAGGCGACGATGGCGATGTAGGTGGTGCTTGGTTTAAATGCAGTTGTTGTAGTGTTTTTGCAAGACGCAGTTCGTTCATTCATTTTTTTTTTTTTAATTATTTTTTCTTAAAAGCATATATCTTACTAGTTTTTTTTTTCCTTCTGTCTCTTGCTGGACAGAAACTAAAATGCATTTGGTTATAGATGTTGGTTTCGCTGGGTTTTTTTTAAATCAAGATAAACCAAACCTGTTTGATGGAGAGAAAAACAAACAGAAAAACGAACGAATAGGTAGGGAAAAAGCATGGAAAGAGGAAAGAAAATCATTTCAAAACGAATAAGTTAACATTAGTAATCAATAACAAAAACGGCTGCGCAATATAATGGTTAACGAGCAGGTCTGATGGACCATTGCTGATATGTAGTGAACTCGATTCTCACTGGGTGATCCACATTCGAAGCCTGGGGTCAAACTAACCTAAGCTTAAGAAATAACAATGCAGTAAGCATTAGTTCATAGCATTACGACACACGACACAAATAATACTACTATAAATAGTCGTAGCAATATGAAAGACTGTTCTAGCGCGGTGGTTAGCAGACAGGCCAAAAAGAAATGAGGTTACGCAACACTGGGCGCCCCAGAATTATGGCGCTGTGCCAGAGTAAACAACAACTATACCGGGCGCCTACTGCAGCGCAATATTTAGGATACTTTTACTGCCGACCATTTCCATATTGAAATGAGTTCCATTCTTACTACATAGACCGATACTGTGGAGCATTTCCAGACCTTCTTTTTATGTGCCTTGTCCCTGTAGAACGTAGGCGATCATGGCTCTCCACATCCCCCCTATCCATGGTAGCTCTCAATGTTTTGTCCCTTTGCTATTCCCCTCAGACCACGTTCTGTCACCCACTTGCTTAAGCCCGCTAGGTATGTCATGCCTTGCTTTCCCTTGTCTCTATTTCCCTCTATCTGCCCTGTGAGTATCAGATTCTTCAAGCCCTCCTTTCTCATTACGTGACCCAGAAATTTCAGCCACCTCTTCCTGATGTTAATTATAAGCTTCCTCCTTGTTTGCATCCTCTCCAAAACCTCACCGTTGCTCACACGCTCTGTTCATGATATCCTTAGCAGCCTTCTCTTTTTTCCTTCTATTCGACATGTGAGTATCAGATTCTCCAAGCCCTCCTTTCTCATTACGTGTCCCAGAAATTTCAGCTGCCTCTTCCTGGTGTTAAGTATAAGCTTCCTTGTTTACATACTCTCGAAAATCTCGTCATTGCTCACACGCTCGGTCCATGTCTCAGAAATATAGACAGTTAGATGTAGAGTGTTGAAGGAGACTTTAGTAGGAACCGGAAACCCAATCCTAAACAGAAAACAAGGGATAAATCTGTAGTCCTGTTCAAAAGACAGCGTTGGAATATATATATATATATATATATATATATATATATATATATATATATATATATATATATATATATATATATATATATATATATATATATATATATGTTGTGTTTGTTTAAAAATAAGTACGCTAAATTCACCTTCCTCCCTGCCGTGTGCCAATAGCTTAGAACAGATTCTCCGACTGACGCCATTTCAGCTGGGTTTCGATCCTACCTCGAGGCAAG